GGATATAAAATGGAGTCAATATACCCAATGAGCAGCCATTTTATTTATTTATTATTATTATTTTTTGAGTTGGAGTCTCCCTCTGTCGTCCAGACTAGAGTGCAGTGACCGCTCCCGGCCACCACAGCCTCGACCTGCTGGACTCCTGCGATCCTTCTGCCTCAGCCTTCCAAGTAGCCGGAATTACAGGCATGCGCTACCACGCCCGGCTGATTTTTTGATTTATTGTAGAGATGAGGTCTCAGGCAATCCACTCACCTCAGCCTCCCAAAGGCGCGGGATTACAGGCTGAGCCACCGAGCCCGGCTTGAGTAGCTATTTTAACATTGCTTAGCTTTGTCATGTTTTTCTAGCAGTTCGCTTTAATTTACCCTCTAATCATTAGCCAAGGACAGAGGTTTCTCAGAGGTAGCTATTGATAATTGTCTTACAACCCCCTCCCCTGCTTGTTTTATAAACAAGTTAACTTAATCAGCTCATAATGGCCTTCATGACACAGACCCCATCAACATGGCAGCAGTCATGTGACTAGCCCACCCATCTTTCTGCTGTCCACCACCTGACATTAGTACCTGTCCCCTCCATAGTGACTCAGAGCAGACTATCACCCAATCACCTTAACGACCGGCTCCCCATCAAAAGGAAGGTTTAAAAAGTCATTCAGTGCTGGGCTCGGTGGCTCAGCCTGTAATCCCGCGACTTTGGGAGGCTGAGGTGAGTGGATTGCCTGAGCCCGCGGGTTCGAAACCCACCTGGGCAACTTGGCGAGACCTTATCTCTACAATAAACCAAAATATGAACCAGATGTGGTAGTGTGTGCCTGTCGTTCCAGCTACTTGGAAGGCTGAGGCGGAAGTATTGCTGGAGCCCAGCAGGTCGAGACTGCGGTGGCCAAGAGCGGCCACTGCACTCCAGTCTGGGTGACAGAGTGAGACTCAATTAAAAAAAAAAAAAAAGTCATTCAAGGCCCAGCTCGGTGGCTCAGTTTGTAATTCCAGCACTTTAGGAGGCAGAGGCAAATGGATTGCCTGAGCCCATGGGTTCAAGACCAGCCCGGGCAACTTGGCTAGACCTCATCTCTACAATCAATCAAAAATTAGCTGGGCACGGTAACACGTGGCTGCAGTTCCAGCTACTTGGAAGGCTGAGGTGAAAGGACTGCCAGAGTCCAGCAGGTCTATGCTGTGGTGGCCATGCATGTGCCACTGCACTCCAGCCTGGGCAACGGTGTGAGACTCCAACTCAAAAAAAAAAGTCATTCAACTTTAAACAACAGTGACCATTGCTTTGTTAAACTCTAGTATGGTCGTGTGGCTCTTTGAGCTATGGCCACCATGTTTTCTAGTCTTGGCATCCTCCTCACCTTGGGGAGGTGAATCTCCCCTTTCTCTCTAATCTACTTTCTAACAAAATATATTTTCCAATCTTAACTTCTTTCTTATTTTTTGAGTTGGAGTCTCACCCCGACTGGAGTGCAGTGTCATGCTCCCAGCCACCCCAGCCTCCACCTGCTGGGCTCCGGCGATCCTTCCGCCTCAGCCTTCCAAGTGGCCGGAACTACAGGCGCACACTACCACGCCCGGCTGATTTTTTGATTTATTGTAGAGATGAGGTCTTGCTGCCCAGGCAGGTCTCGAACCCGTGGGCTCAGGCAATCCACTCACCTCAGCCTCCCAAAGGCACGGGATTACAGGCTGAGCCACCAAGCCTGGCTAGTTTTTTATTATTATTATTGTAGAGATGAGGTCTTGCCAAGATCCCCGGGTGGGTCTCAAGCCCGAGGGCTCAGGCAATCCACTGGCCTCGGCCTCTCAAAGTGCTGGGATTACAGGCTGAGCCACGGAGCCTAGTCAGAGATTTTTTAACCTAACTGCATTTTTGGAGGTCCCACCAAGATTCTGGTCTAACAGTAACCTTTGCCAGTTTCAGTGATAGAGCAGAAGTGTCCAGTGGCAGTCATAGGTTAGACAATTTCCCCACCTGCAGGTAGCAACAACTTTTTTGTGGTGATCACAATTATAATCATTAACTACTATTCTTCCTTCTCTGCAACCTCAAAGTGGGGTCACTTCTCACTATTGTTTTCCCAGAGCCCACCTCCAGTCTCCTGGCAGCCTAGTAGTACACTCATTAAATACCAGTTAAATGAACAGCATTTGCATCTCCAGCCCAATAGCAAACATTTCATGACAACTCTTCAGCACCACAGTCCCTTTCCTTCCCCTCTCCCTCCTCCCACTCCCATCCCCAAATTTCGCCAAGTTCTGTCTACCCTGGGTCCACTCAGCTTCCTCTGCCATAGGTACCTGTGGGGCACCGGCATCTTTTCAGTGGTTCTGATCCCTGGATGAGAAGGAATCTGCTCAGCCATGACAGTATCACCAGACTGGGGGCCTTGGTTACTCCCTCTGAAAATGAGGAGGTGATTTCCAGGGCACCTATCTCAAGCCCTAAAAATTCCACAACAGCCCCTTTAGATAAGGAAGTGGCAATGCAGGGGTGTGTGTTGTTACCGGTTCAGCCACAGATCTGCTCACTCTCTCGAAAAAAAGACCTTTAAATTCCCAAATGGAACCAGTTGTCTCATGTTGACACTTCTTATCTTCTTAGCACATGGGACTGTTGAGGACTGACCCAAAGAGTCCTACAGATGTACTGCTTTAAGACACGCAAACCTCCGGGAGCTAGCCAGCTAGCTAGCTGACTCCTCCCCCCACCTCCGGCCCCCAAGAGCTTCCGGCCAAGTTCCCGGGTCCCAAATGAATCTCAGCGGGGCACTTGAAGCGTTTCGGCTGAAAAGGCCACACCAGGAGGAGCTGAAGCGCAGCGTGAGTTACAGAGTCCACTGCTGTTGAGTTGAAATGTAGCTTCATCCCGCCATTAATCGGATGGGGCCCTACTCCCCCAATAAAAATAACTTTAATTCTCCCGAGGCCAGGTGGACATAAACAACAGCTCAGCCCCGTGGGCCCGCTGCATTCGCACAGGTCGAAATGGCCTCCGGTGCCGCCAATCGTCCTGCCACCGTCCAGATCCAATATGCAGAAATGGATGAAAACGGGACTATATCATAAAAGCTTCACACTCGTGTGCCTGGCAATATTAGGCAAAAGCCAGACTTTCCTTTAGAAACTGGAATTAGATGAAACTTAGAAACTACTCATGACTTTGGACGCATTTAGTAACAAATTAAATAACCCGGAGGACTGAGGCGTTAGGTGAGAAGCCTCAGAGAGGCGACTCTCCCTCTGGGGCGTCTGGGGCTCGGTGGAACCACAAATAAGCACTTGCGGCTCGTCGTGGCGCATCTGAATCCGGTTAACTCCCGGTGTCATGGGGGCGCGGCGGCGAGGGGGCAGGAGAGGCCGCACCGCGGGCCCCGGGAGACAGATAAAGTCAAGGCTAACGTGGCCTCCCATGCCCAGCGGCCGTTTGCAGCATCCTTTCCTGGAACAGGCCTGACATCCCGACGGCAAAGCCCAGCGGCTGCGCCCAGCCCGCCCCTCGCCCGGGCGCCGGCCACCCTTCCAGGCTCGGCGTGCAATTCAGATCCCTTCGCGCCCCAAGTCAGGCGGCCCGGAGAACCCCTCCTGACCCCGAACTTCCATCTCAGCGGGAAGCCTCCTGTCGTTCCCCGCACACACGTAGCTCCTCGCCGGAGAGCACGCCTCTCCTGGCTTCCGAGCATCCCCAGGCGGAGCATAGGGCTCAACACACATTGTTTGAAGGAACAAAGATGGCAGCAAATTTCAAGAAACAAGACCTGGCAATAAAATATCGAACCAGTTGTGGCCCGTGCATGGTCTTTTGGCTTTCCGAATTAAAGCTGTTATTTTCCACCACTTCTCCAACCTGGAATCACCCGCTTGATAAATTGACTGAGTAGATACATCCTGTTTTTTTTTTTTTTTTTGGAGTCAGAGTATCACTCTTGTCGCCCAGGCTGGAGTGCAGTAGCACGCTCACAGTCACCGCAGCCTCGACCTGCTGGGCTCAGGTGATCCTTCCACCTCAGCCTTCCAAGTGGCTGGAACCGCAGGCATGCGCGACCACGTCCGGCTAATTTTTTTATTTATTGTAGAGACGAGGTCTCGCCATGTTACTCAGGCTGGTCTCGAACCCTTGAGCTCAGGCAATCTTCTAGCCTCCGCCTCCCAAAGTGATAGGATGACAGACTTGAGCCACCGCGCCTGGCAAGTAGATACATCTTTACTCTTCTATTTTACATATCTTTTTTTCTCCTGCATAATTTTCATACAAGAATTAACGACAAATCACATTTTACAAACTATTTCATCTAAAGCAGTCATTTAAAAGGTTTTTAAAAGGCTTTAACTTTTTTTTTTTTTTTTTTTTGAGTTGGAGTCTCACTCTGTCACCCAGACTGGAGTGCAGTGGCCGCTCCCGGCCACCGCAGCCTCGACCTGCTGGGCTCCGGCGATCCTTCCGCCTCAGCCTTCCAAGTAGCTGGAACTACAGGCACGAGCTACCACGCCCGGCTCATTTTGATTTATTGTAGAGATGAGGGCTCACCAATTTGCCCAGGCGGGTCTCGAACCCGCGGGCTCACCTCAGCCTCCCAAAGGCGCGGGATTACAGGCCGAGCCACCGAGCCCGGCTAACTTTATTTTTTTAGAAGAGTATATCTGATCATTTTAACTTGCAACTAATGATAGAGATATTAGGACTAGTTAACTGCGGTTTTACAAGACTCCTCCTCTTCCATTCTCTCGATTGTTTCGGCTGCCTGACCGCGGCTCGCCTCCCTTCCCGGCAGCGCCCGGCATTGTCATGCGCCTGGGCCTCCCCGCCCACCTGACGGGTCTCCCTGCCACCCCCAGGGCTTGTTGTTAAGGAAGGAGAATACCCGGGAAGGCTGAGTCCCTGGTTCAAGGTCAAAACGCCCATTAGGGTCGAGAGCCCCCCAGTTTCCCGGGACGTCTCGGTCCCTGCTTCTCCTAGCCTTCTGGGGAAAACATACTTTTTCTCATCTGGGATATTTTTCTTTTCAAATTGCCATTTTTCACTGTAGGAGATGAATGTTTTCCTTTGGATGTTTTGGCAGTAACTCTGACTTAAAACCATGCTGACATTTTTTTCTCCCTAATTGTTGAGAGCTATGGACTGCAGGAAGATGGCCCGCTTCTCATCCAGGTATGAGCAAATCTTGAAAGTAAACTTTTGATTTCTAGAGATTGCCGATTTAGGAAATAATGTTCGCCTGTCTTTGGATTTTTATCTTGCTCAAGCCTTAAAAGAGCTGCCAACAGCACTGCTGTTTTTTGTGAAAGATCTGGAAACATAGTTGCATCTAACTTTGCCATTGGTTTCAATTATATCAGTAGCTCTGCCTGTGAAATGGTATTTCCCTACTCTGTGTAAAAAAAGCTCAACATTAACAACCCATTTTGAAAATCTGCTTCTGAAAGGTTAAAGGTATAGATTCAATACTTGCAAAGCCACTAAGTGTAATAGCAAAAAAAAAAAAAGTAATCTTTTCAGGTTAAAACCGTTTTTAAACCTTTTGAATGACTGATTAGATGAAATAGTTAATTCTTATATGAAGACTGTAGGCAGAAAAAATATATAAAATAGAAGAGTCAAGATTTATCTACTTAAAATGATGTGCAGATGAGAATAGGGTCTAAGAAATAATAATGCGTATTGAGAAGAATTGCAGACTGGTGACTTTTCAGCATTTTCTTTGTGATGTGAATTAGTGCACCATTAATAAAAGGAAAATAAAAAGAAAGATGGTGCTGCATGCTTTCTTCTTAGTGGTCTGTGGTCTTGTCCTAGTGATGAGAGGCCCCAAGTGTTAACTTGCAGGGTTTTATTTTCTTTATTATGCTAACTCATGTCTGATTTCCTCTTCCTAGTGTGATTCTGGTCATGGTCATTTCCAAAGCGTTTGCACTGGGATTCGTTGCCGGTGAGAGACTTTTTGTTCTTTTGATTACTAACAATTTTTATGTGGCCTGAAATACAGACTCCATGAGTTGACTTTTGTCGTTAAGGGTTGGGCTACCATGAACTGGCACGTCCACCTCAGGGAGACCTGGCCCCCAGAGATGACCGCATTCGGCCCCAGGAGGAGCCTGCCATTCGTCCTCGTGCTTCCCAGTTGGTGCCATCCATGGGAATACAGGACAGTAAGACCTCTCTGCCTTAGATCATCTCTGTCCTGGTCTTCGTGTGTCTCCTGCGTATCTTTTAACACTCTTTCACCTGAGAGAGTGGGCACCTGGTCCTGGAATTGGGCAGGTGGTTGGACTGGTTTTAGCTTTGGAGTGAGACAGGCTTGTGTCTTCACCTCCCTGGAAGGTAGTTTTCTTCACTTGACCCCACTTCATGCTAGGAACCACCACTGGCCTGTGCATGAGAATGACTTCTTTGCTCCAAGGCACAGGGAACAAAAGGACACTCAAAAGCAGTCTTATACAGTGAGGTATACAGTTTTTAGACACATTGGGAAGATGAAGTCTTTGGGGTTGTATTAATCTTTGCTCACAGGAGTTGCCGTTGGGCTTTTCTGTCCCTCCATGCTCAGCTTCCTCTCCTCGCCTCTCAGGTAAGAAGCTGAACAGAACCTGCTGTCTGAATGGGGGAACCTGCATGCTGGGGTCCTTCTGTGCCTGCCCACCCCCCTTCTATGGACGGAACTGTGAGCATGACAGGCGCAGAGAGTAAGCTATTCAGAGGGGGAGGGGTTTGGAAAGGAGAGGGAGAGAGAAGCGGAAATTTAAAATTCATGGGTGTCACCTTATTTTTCATTCTCAGGAGCTGCGGATCCGTGCCCCATGACACTTGGTTGCCCAGGAAGTGTGCCATGTGTAAGTGCTGGCATGGCCAACTCCGCTGCTTTCCTCAGGCATTTCTGCCTGGCTGTGGTAAGTGAAGGGTCTCCTCTTTCTTTTACCTTTTCAGGTTACTTAGTTGTCTTTGGGGGTGGTACCTAGTTAACAGGGTCTCTCCTTGTTCCCTGTGGTACGCTAAAGCCTGGGAGCCAAAGTTGTGCTTGTGAAATCATCCAGGACTTCTTGATATTTACTCCCTCTGAAAAAAATCTGGCTAGTCTTGCTGCCTTTCTTTTTTTTTTTTGAGTTGGAGTCTCACCCTGTCACCCAGGCTGGAGTGTAGTGGCATGCTCACAGCCACACAGCCTCGACCTGCTGGGCTCAGGCGATCCTTCCACCTCAGCCTTCCAAGCAGCTGGAACCATAGGCATGCACCACCACACTCTGCTAATTTTTGGATTTATTGTAGAGACGAGGTCTCACTAAGTTACCTAGACTGGTCTCGAACCCCTGGGCTCAGGCAATCCTCTCGCCTTGACCTCCCAAAATGCTGGGATTAAGCCGGGCTCGGTGGCTCAACCTGTAATCCCGCGCTTTGGGAGGCCGAGGTGAGTGGAT